GGAGATTGTCAAGAGCTGCGTGATATCAACAGTAAGCACTTCATGGTAATCTTTTCTCTGGTCCTATTCACTGTTTCCCTTTTGGTATAAATGAAGGTGAGTGAAAAGGGACACAGCTCTATGAAGCCTTGATATGGGGTCAATGAGCAGATGTCACTCTCAAGTAACAGCAGCTGTTCTCCAAATATTAAGCAGATTAATCCCTCAACAATAGATTTCGGTGGCAGAAAACTTATATTTGAAATAATAATTAGCAAAAAAGAAACCCCTGTGCCCTAAGATACCCTCCCTCCACAGAATCTCATTTCATGGGCATGTACTTCAACAAAGGACTTTTTGCCTTTGTCAAACACATTCCATTCATGATTTCATTAATATCGTGAGTCATAATTGATACAGAAAGCACTGCATCATGGAAGGGTGAACCAAAAAGCAAAGAAATGTTAATTTGAAATAAGTGGTTTCCAAATTATTTTGATCTCTTGGCCTTCTCTGATTTATTTTTTAAATGATCCAATTCTTATCTTGTTTATCACTGATTGTCAATGGCCATTTAACTCCCAAGAGGAACAAATAAATGAGAAGACTTTAGGTTAAAAAGAAAGTATAACAAAGGGGAAGAGACTTCACCAGGATGACAGATAATCTAATAAATCATGAACTAAGAAAAATCATGATGACAACACCTACCCAACTCAACTTGGTGCCTTTTTCTTTCTCTGTCCTAATTATTTCTCACTGGGCATACCTAAATTTTGCCCAAGTTTTGTCTACCCATTCCTGCCATCTGACACAACATTGCATGTCCTCAAATTAGTCATGGCCACTTACCCTTCATTCTCTCCCACTCTCGAATCAAAACTCAAATTCTGTCACAGCAGCTGACCTTAGCCTGCTATGAGAAGGATTACAACAAGACTGGCTGATTTAAACTAATTAGTCAACAATTTAAGGTACTTCCAATGAAGCATGAGTTTAAGAAGATACCTATTTTCCTAAACAGTTATTAAAGAGTAGGGATTTCAAGAAGACAGGAAGAGAAGAGGGGAAAGTTCAAATCATGTGTAATACTTGTGCATTGTACATCCACAATGGCCCACTTAGCACCTGCAGCAGACAAATTGAGTAAAGACCGGATCTCCAACCTGCTGGAATCTTTGCTGCCTGCACAAATCTTTCCAGTGTAAAGCTCAAAATCCATCTGCCATTACTGCTATGGACTATTCTAGGATGGGTGCTCACCTCAGAGTCAGACTCCCGGGTATTCTTGGAAGAGCATTTTCACTTCCTTCAAATAAGCTAACTTGGGAATAAAAATGAATTATTCCAGTGACAGTGTTGAAGCCACACAGAACACTTCAAGAATTTCTAAAAGTTGCTCATTTATAAGACACAAATTTTCTCTTCTGTCTCTGTCTCAATCTTGTTTGATTCTCTCTCTTGCTGTTTTCCTCTCTCTCTTTCTCCCTCATACACACAACATACAACACACAACACATACACACACATATATTCATTCATACTTTGTTGTTAAAACAACTTTATTAGCCTGACCACCATTACAGGTACCACTAGAGTTCTTTCCACAGTTAACACACATACTCAAAGAATGAAGCTTCACTCCCCTCCCATATAGTCTCTGCTGGTGTACGTGTGTAGGCAGATTCCTGTCCTTTTTTCCTTCTCCCTGGAATTTATCGCCCTCCCATGGTCTGGATGTGTCACCCATACCCTATGCAATAGTGTTGAGAGTCAGGGTCTTTCTAAAGGCAGATTAACAGCATTATAAGCTGTCTTGCAGCACCAGGCACAAGGGTGCATGCCTGTATTGCCAGCTACTCATGAGGCAGAGGCAGGAAGATTGCAAGTTCAAAGCCAGCCTCAAACTTAGAGAGACCCTGTCTCAGAATAAAACAGAAAGTGCTGAGGATGTAGCTAAGTGGTAGAGCACCCCTGGGTTCAATTCCCAGTACTTCCAAAGGTACGGGGCGGAGGGGGGTGCTTACAGGAGTAGGTTCACTTTTTTGTTCTTCTGCTGCATGTGAAAACATAGCAATCTCTCCTCTAGAGGATAGTGTTCAAGTTATCCTCATGGAAGCAGCAAGACCAAGTTCTAACCTGCTGCCATCTTGATCTTCTTGAACTTCCCCATCTCCCAAATGGAGAAATAAATTTCTATTATTTACAAATTATCAAATCATAGGTATTCTTTTAAAGCAGCTCTAAATAAACAAAGCCACAAGCTTGCATCTCCTCTGAATACTGCCATCACTTCTTTTGTTTTCCCAGCAAGTTCTCTTCTTGTAGGCAAATGGCAAGGTGGAGTGAAATCTTTTGCTTCCTGCCCGAACTTTTTCACTTTTGCTGATGACCCCTAAGCTCTTTTCCTTTCAAGTAATTTTCTTTAGTACAAGAAAACAAAGAACCATTCAACAAACAAAACCACCTTTTACAGATAGTAACAGTCTTTTAAAAGTACCTTAATAGATATCCATGGCTTTATTTCCCTGATATACCTACATATATGTCCAAAATAAAAGACTAATTTTTTATTCAATCCTTGCACTCTACTTGGGTTATTTTATTTTCAATTGTGATAAGGAGTATACAGAAAGGGATGATCCACAAAGAAATACAACATGGTTTCATACAACTAGACCAATGAAGGAGCCCCATGCTTGAGAGGGTCATGCATAGGTCAGGTTCACCATAGAATTGTGTGAATTTTTTATATTGTAGCATCCCTTTGTCTTTTCTTTTGAAAAGATCAGGCAGATTATATAATTTTCTAACCCCAGCTTTGCAGGAAAATCTACTGGAATTTCCCAGGATGTTTAGGGAATCATAGCTTCACTGGAGTAGGTACATAGCACCCCAAGATGGTTCTACATATTGCGATGAAAAATTTCTACTATTTTTGCTTTTTATAAACAAAGTGATATACCACAAAACCTAATATGTATGCTTAAACAGAGTACACACACTAATGAATACAAACAAATGTATACTTGAACCCTAAAGTATGTTTTAGAAGAATTCATTTTTTTCAAAACACTTAGGAAAGGACAAAGTTATAATGTCATAATACAATATACCAGAGTATCCTAGCTCCTCCTAGAAGTTCTTAGTATTCACACATCCATTTTATAAAAACATCAGCAATTCCAAGCAAACTGTCAGAAAATAAGAAAACCTCTTTCTTAAAAGTGAATGGGGAGAATTGGATAAAATAGTAGCACAGTAGTTGACTCAAAAAGATGCTCATGGCCATGCCAAATCATATTCTTTCTGAGTAAGTCACACTGAACAAAAAAAGAAGATAAATCACTATGAAAATGCAAGTGAGCTGGTGATAATATCCTAGTTATAGCTGCCATGAAATAGTCATTAAGTTATATGCAGCATAAATCTCCAAGAGTTCTGTAAATTATGGTGGTTCTTAGAGACCAAATAAAGATAAACTATAGAACTATGGCTTCCTTTCTCTTTGCTCCTTGGTGTGGCTTTTTAAAATGTTTATGCTCAGGCTTGTTATACCATATAGCTCTTAAATTATCTCAGAATTTAAAATTTGCAACTCAAATCTTTAAGACTCCTTTTCTACATTTTGAAGGCCATCACTTCTAAACAATCCCTTCTTGCATTTGGAAGTAGACTCTTGCTCTGCTCAGGCTCCTACTGGGCCAGACAAGCTTCCAGCTCTAGTCTCAAACTTGAGTTGTTCCCACTTCCAAGGCTTGTTGAAGGAGCAAGTGCTAGAGATGAACACTTCCAAATCTGGAGCCCAGCAATGAAATCTTAAGTCCTGCTTCTATCCCTAGAACTGAATATCAGCAAACTCTGATTCAAGAATCTCCAGTCAGTGTTCCTTTTTTTCTTACAGATTGGTACTAATCCCCAGTTGATCTTTTTTCTTAACTGCTGTTTTTCCCCTGCTATTTAAACTGAATTCTTATTGCTCCAAATTAAATCCATTCTTTCTAGCCTTGTCATTGCTAACTAATGAGAACAATTCCTCTCCTTGCTGTTGGTGGCTGCACTTGGGGTGCTTATAGATGAGAATCATATCTTTAGCCTACTTTCTTAGCTGCAGACTGCACAGGTGATAAAATGGGTTAATTGTTGCTATAAAAATATTTCCTATCCTCATAACAAAGCAGTTTTTTTCCTTCAAATCATTTTAGTTTCTTAGATTTGCAGTATTTTCTTAAGATCTGTAGGGACTGAAAGTATAGTCCTATTGAGTTCATACATACAAGACGTAAAGCAAAATGTCAGATATGCAATATGCATGAATAACACTAATCTTGGTCCTTGTGCTATTTCCTTTGAAACACAGCCCCACCCACTCTGGAGCTCTGACATCAGTTTTTATCACACATTCTTTATATCTACCTCTACAGTGATATTTGCGTCTTAGGACAAGGGTCACCAACTACAGTTGTGGCTAATTTTGGTAAATGAATTTTCACTGAAATTCTGTCTTGTGCACTAAAAAGATGTATTATCTATGGCAAAACTGAGTCACTCTGATAGTGACTATATAACCAGCCTGTGAGTCCCTCCTTGGCCCTTTATAGGTTTGCCAAACCCCAGCCCAGGAAATCATGAACATTCCAGTTAGCTTTGCTATTTGTACCAAGTAAGTTGAACCACACCTTGTAAATCTATTGTCTGCACCCAAGTGATCTGCTAGATATTTATCTGCAGGCCAAACCACAAGGTTGGGAAAGGGAGTTTGAAAGAGAATAGGTTTTTGTTTTTTGTTTTTTTCTATATATATATTCCTGGAACAGAGGGGAGAGTTTTTAATTTTTTTTTTTTTTTTTTTATCACAGAAGCATGTATGAGTGTGATGGTTCACATAATGGAAGACAATTCCTATGAAGCATGTGCACCTTTGTTGTGTCCGTGTGTGGAGTGTTCCGCGGCATTTATCTGACTCACCAACTCAGACCACCAGGGAGACAAGAGAATGCAGGCCAAGGCCGGGTACTCACTATGTGAAGCTGCAGGAAGTCTCCAAGACCTGGAGCGCTGTCGATGCGTACTAAGATGCCATCCTTCACCGTGGTGCTGAAGCCCACTGCCAGGCGGTCAGAGCGCGTGCTGGGCCTGTCATTGGCCGGCCAGGTGTAGAGGATGAGGCCACCACTTTTCCCAAAGATGTAGGTAGCGCCAGCTGTGAAGGCAAGGAGAGAGCGAGATGTCAGGGCACTGTACTGTGCATTGCCAACTCTAGCACACTGCTGAGGCTTCACAGAACAGCTGCAGAGAGGAAACGTCCCCCACAGGACAGGATTTGGTTACTGAGAGGGATGACTTCCAAAGCCTCAGAAGGCATCTGTCACCTCAAATTAAAGTTGCCAGTAAAAGGAAGTAAAAGAAATGAATAACAAAGCAGATGTTAGTGAGAGACATTCCTAACATCCATAGTTCTTGCTGCGTATTAGTGGAGGGCAAATTATGTGCTGTGTCGAAGAGCTTTGGTACATTGTGACAAACAACTTCTCTGTCCTTCCCAACAGCAGAATTAATTTTCCATCCTGGCTAGGACAGGCATGAGATAAAGAACTTGTCCCCCATCTCTTGGCTATCAAAAGGTTCTGATCAGTGGAACAAAAACTGTTCCAGAGATGCCTCACCAAAATCAGTGTAATGAGGAAGCCAAAAGGCACCATTTCTCTCATGCCCATGCCTTCTCCACCCACAGAAGACACAGTTATGCCCTGAGAAAACCAAGTAATATAGGGCAGTATCCCTTAATGGAATACTTGGGGCCAGAGTGATTCTGAAATAATTTTTTTTTAAATTTTGGCATATTTGCATATACATAATAAAATATATTGGAGATAGGACTCAAGTCTAAATATAAAATTTAGTTGTTTTATAGACAACTTATACACATATCTTGAAGGTAATTTACAGTTGGATTAGAGCTTATCACATGAGATCAGGTAGAATCTTCCACTTGCGACACCCTGTCAATGTTCAAAAAGTTTTAGGTATAAAGCATTTCAGATTTTGGATTTTTGTGTTAGGAATGTTCAACTTGTAAGACTGAAAGCTTTTGCCTATTTCCCTATTATGTTGCCATAAGCATGGTGACTAAAATTATTTCCAAGCTCTTTAAAAATGAATGTTTTTCTCCTCTAGTGGTAGAATTTATCTGGTATTAGAACAACAGTTTCAAATTCCTTTTCCAAACTACATGAGACATAGCAAAATAATCCCCAGAAAATGAACTTTTAACATGAGAAGTGGTATCATCAGTTACAACTAGTGGGTTTATCAGTGTTTTTTTTTATTATTTACTCATGAATTTCCTTTTCTCAGTGTGAAACCAGAGGCTACCAAGAATATATGAATATGAAATTATCTATAAAACAAATAGAAAGAAAAACAAAGAAAAATATGTATTTAAAAATATAAAAAGCCTATTTCAAGAAGCAAGTTTAAATTCTGATTCTGGGAAAATATATTTCAATTTAGTAGACAAAATAGACTACCCCATAATAACCTTCATGGTTTCCTGCCTGTTACCCACAGTGAGTATTTCCATATGTTACTCAGCTCAAAGTCCAAAGAACATTTGGCACTAGATTTTCTTGTGAATATCCCAGCAAACATGTTCCAACCTTTAAGACTATTTTTAAAACAACATTAGACAACCATTCAGATATCTTTAGCAGTTACTAAAAATCTCAAGCACTGGTCCACATTTATTATCAGGGCTAGTTTACAGAAAATATTGGGTGGAATTACGCTAGCTGAAGAAGAGATGAGTTATGCAGCTTGCTAAGAAATAATATACTCCTTTGAGCTAGAATTAGGAGTATATGTCATATGTCATCTTTGTAAAGAAGAAAGCCACATTAAATTCTGATGTATATATAGAATGTCATTTGTCCTCCTTGAAAGGTCACTATTCAAATCATTCCAATTTGGTGAGTTTATACATTACATGTAGCATGACATTATTTTCCTTTTATGAATTTCTCAATCTTTAGGGGATGGTCTCTGGAAAGCCTCTCACAGTCATATGGAGAATTTGGGACTGTAGTAAGCAAAGTTTATGATGAAGTCTATATGCAAAACAATGTTGGCTCCTTATCATCCACAAACACAATCAAATCTTCTTAAAATTAGAAATGTGGGTATAATGATTTACCCTTGATATCTCTCCATCTGTGAAGAATTTAAATAAGTCCCTTTCTGTAGATTATTACAAATGTCATCATTGCTCCCTTCATTCTTTATTTGGAAAACTGAAGGTTACTCAGTGATTAATGTATAAAATCACCAAAAATTCAAATCAGCTTGTGACATTTCATGATAATTTATAAAATCTTACCCTATTCTATCCTAAATACATAGTGAATTGTGCCACATAGTGGATTTTGCCACAGAGGTGTATTTTGTTACTACAAATAAACAAAGTAAAAAACTCATTGCAAAAAAGAATAATAATATAAATAGAACTTTACAATTTGCAAAGATTATACAAATTTGTTAGATGAAATTTCCCTACAATCGTATGGGACATTTCCTTTGTTAACAGTTTTATAGAACAGAGGCTCAGATATTTCATTTAAGTCAGTGGTACCTTCTTTAAGTCCCCAGCCTGAGCCACCCGTCTACAAGAGTCTTTTTTCACTACCTGCCAATGTAACTTTTTTTTGCACAATAAACTGGACCAATGGGGCAAAGCTATCCAAATTTAGCTCTTTTCACTTTTTCTTCCAATATCAAATCAGAATGAACACAAAGCCATCACCCAAAATCTGCATATTAAAATAAAAATTATATATATACATACATATATATATACACATACATACATATATATACATAAATACATATATATATCTATAACATGTTATATATGTTAGATAATTCTAACTCTATAGGTGAAAAGGGAATAAAAGATAAAAAGCGCTTAGTATAAGGCTTATTCTACTATGCAGAAAGCAGTATTAAAACATCTGTTCTCGGTACTGAGCTTTCTATTCAGGGTGAATAAAGACCCTGAGTGTTTCCATAGCCTAAACTTCCTTTAGAGGAAGTTAACTAATAGTTGCAATTTTCTACTCTGATAATGTGATTGTTTTTCTCCTTATTTTTTATGTTTTTCTATCTTTCATGGTTTTTAGAAATAAACACACATTTTCTGTTAATTCATATAAAATGCCTAAGTCCCAAAGGGAACATAATAAAGTTGTTTCACTTTTATTTTCAAATTTTAAAAAGTTGTTACTTTAAAGTATGGATTACAAATAAATTTGGGGGAAACATCTCAGGAACTATAAGAACCCTCCTTATATCCATTAAGAGTTTTTATTTCCAAGTCATGTAATACCACATCACATAACTTCTCCTGTGAGCCAAGAAATACTGATTCCTGGTTTCTCAACTGAGTTCAGAATGTCAGTGCTAAGATCATACTACATTAATAATCAGGACCATGCAACTATCTTTCCTGATAGCAAAAATGATCAATTTATCTGAAGAAAAAATGTAGATAGCAATAAGCTGATGAAGCAGATAATATGTGACTTCTTTAAGAGAATAAGCATACATTTTCTTCAAGGTCACATATTTTCCCAAGATTCTTAAAACTTTGGTGTATTTTACAGCTTATCTTAATGGAATTTAATTTCTGAGGGTAAATAACCTTTCTCCTTGTTTAGGAACATTTGGATTGTTATTATTGTTTTTTGTTTGATTTCTAAACTCCAGTTCCCTGCTTTTAGGACATTGTTCCTATTTCCAGTCTCATATCCAAACAACAGATCACATTTTTTTGGAAATTATTCACAGAAATAGGATTATGGTCTTGTCTAAGATTCACTCTAAATATAAAAATAATATATAGATGTATATGTGTGCACGCATGTACATATGTACATGTGTGTACCTATGCATGTGTGTAAGTATGAAAAATAAGAAAAATTTAATCAGAAAATAAAATTGACTACTTGTAACTTTTTTATTATTTTGCTTATTATATAATTAGAAGTTAAATAGCTTCAGGAAAATACTCAAAGATATATACATGTGTGTTTGTGTATATATATCTACATATAAAAATATATATGTGTATGTGTGTATATATATATATATATATATATATATATATATATATATGAAATATATATATGTATATATTTTAATGTGACAAAGTTCCCTACAATGATTTTCTATTGGTGTTAAAATAAGTTTTGGAAGCTCAAGACACCTAAATTTAAACTGAACTAGATAAATTACTTGTATATAAGTATATCACATTGAAAATAATAAATAAAATGAGTGTGATACTTCAAGTGCAAACCCATGTGATACATTAAGTAGGATGAGAAACAGGACATCAGGCTGAGGCTCTTGAAGATGGCCTGAGAATACAGTCTAAAATCTCATGATAGTAACGTGTAGGTGGCTTCCTCTATTGTTTTAGGTTCCCTCTTTCTGAGTACTCCTTCATCAAGCTTCTCCACAATTGTGTTCTTTATTATAAATTGTCAAGTCCTTTTGGAAAATAGATAGACCATCAATGACATAAAATATACTCTGCCGGTAGATATAGTTATTGCTATAAAATTAAAACTATCTTTTATTCATATCAATTACCATATAGCTAATAAAACCAAAATGGAAAGACTGGAAAGACTTGTGGCTTTGAAACTGACGAATACCTCTTCTAGCTAATGGAGGCATAAAGCTCCAGAATCTCATAATGACTGATGGTCCGAAGAATATAGTTTCTTGATTTATATTAGTTGGTTTGTTCTATGGTTTCCTTCTACCCCTGTCTCCCTAGCTATTTGGGCTGCATCTTGTGCATTTTCTCCTGACAGTGGGAACTAGCATTTCCATAGCATTGATTGGTTTTCAAATTGCCTTCTTTGGTAGTATCTCATTTGATGCCTCTTTCTTCAATACTCACTGAAGGTTTAGTGGCAAATATTTTTGTTATTATTTTAACAAGAAAATGGAGGCTCAAAGAAATTCAGCTGCTCGATGCAGTTCTCAGTGGTGGAGCAGAGAATAGAATCAGATCTCCCTGTCTTAACTCTGAACTTTTCTCCCCAGGACAGGGTGTCCTGCTGACCCATGGGGTGAAACTCCCTAACAGAATCCCTAGCTCTCCTCCCCAGAGCCCTGCAAGGAGGAGAGAAGGGTGAA